GTACTTCCCTAAATAAGTATGCCAACTGCTTTCAACACATTGGGACAAAGTACCAGGGCATTTACATTGTGACAGCAGTTATGATTGATGATCCACACAAACCTGATCTGTTGCAAAGAGGATGTAGCACAAACCACAAAGGAACCAGACACTTCAGCCTATGTTTGGCACAATACCCTGGAGACAGGAGATCCTGACCATTTCAGCCAACCATTTTTTATTGCCAGATTTTGCAATCTTCCTTTGCAGAATTATTCTGCACTGAAAAGATAACAGTCAAACATAGCTGGCAACAGGCTTCAGGGAGTTTTTACAGATTTCTGCTTGACTACAGTGGCAGGCTTCCCCCAGAGTGGTCACAGACTTATTTACTGAACTCTAAATTATTAACCTTTTCTAGTGACTGTTGGCACAAATCTTAATTATATAATCTATAATATTATTTTATGCTATAAATGATTCAGAAGCATTTTAAACTTATAATGCTGAGAAGAATTAACACTTCAGTTCTCTAATTATTACTGATAAACTAAAAAAATCTATTGGTCTGAACAAAATACTTACCTGCATCAATTTCCTTATTCAATTAAAGAGTAGGTTGGCAACATGATTGCATGCAGGTATTGGTTGTTTTGAATTTGAAATAATGGAAATTGGAAACATGGTGAATGAAGAAAATCTGAATTGATAGCATTTCCATCTTGATACCAAAGTTCAATACATACTACACAACGATAAGTAAGAAGGGAACTTCCAGGCACACTTTTCCAAATGTATGTTTACTACTTGTGTTTACCAATATACAATCTGTATGCCTACTTCCTTGCACACTCCTCTCTTATTTACAAAATTTTCCCTTATCAGGAACAACTCTGGTCCCTCTGCACTGAAAAAAAAACGTTCGTTCGTTTGAAAACAGAGCTTTGCAGGTGATCCATCAGGGAGCTATTATATTCCCAAAGAAACTATGGAAACATTCTCAATCCTGCTGTTGAATTGTAAATACACTTCAGTGCAATCTGACTGTGGCCACAAAGCAAGTCTTTAACATATGGTACTTAATATATGGAAGTAGGTTGTTCAAGGCTTTAAAACAGGTTTGAACTTGCACCCTGAATGTTGAAGAATTTTATTATTACTAGCATTACCATTGTGACGGTAGATGTACACATGGCCTCCTCCCTCCCCATGGGGAACGGAGGCTTGGGTCGGTTCAGGCCATGCGGCAGCCTCCGTTCCCACTGATCTGGAGGCTGGGGAGACTTGGGCTGGCTCTGAACGCAGGGTCTCAACCCTCCTCACTGCTGCCGAGGGCAGGGGAGTAGGGGTTGGGGTCGTGTGTCCTTTTCCTTCCCCACTGCTCCCGAGGATGCTGGGGCATGCGTGTGCTCTTCTCCTCCTCATGGTGGGGGTGTGTGCACACACGTGGTCTCTTCCCTGCCTGCTGCTCCCAGGACCAGGGCGGTTTGGGCTGGCTTAGACTGCAGGGCCTCGTCCCTTCCCAATGCTCCCGGGGATGGGAAGGCTCAGGCTATGCGGCCTCTTCCCTCCCTGCTGCTCCTGGGGGCAGAGGAAGGGGTTGGGGTCATGTGTCCTCTTCCCTTCCCGCTGCTACAGGGATGCTAGGGTGCGCGCATGGCCTCCTTTTCCCCTCCCCATGGGGGTCGGGGGAGCATGTGCACATGGCCTCCTCTCTCCCCACTGCACCCGGGGGGGAGGGGGAAGGAGAGGTTGGGGTCGTGCGACCTCTTCCCTCCCCGCTGCTCTGGGGATGCTGGGGCATGCGCACTCTTCCCCTCCCCATGGTGGGGGAGACATGCATGCGTTCAGCACACTGCTCCGCCTCCTCCTCCCCTCACTGTGGTGGGGGCAGGGCCTCAGTGGAGGGGGCAGGGCTGTAGGTGTGGCTGGGGCCTGCCTCCCCCTAGAAACTTCTCAAGTCTTCTCAAATCTTCTCTGTGACAGACAGCGTGACGGACACCTCTCCTTTTATAATAGTATAGAATAGATGATTTAGCTATAAGTGGACATCTTTCTAAACAGAAATGCTACAGTGAACACAAAAAGAAATGCTAGTGACATAGCTGTCCCCTTCATATACTAGGAAAAAATACTGCATGTTTCAATATAATATGTACTAAAGGGGTTAGGCTATATTCATGGTGGAAATAATCTACTTTTATGATGCTCCTGTGTGTTCTCTATACTTTCTAGTACCAAAGATTCTATTTTTATCTTTCTAAAAGCATCGACCCATATCTCTGAATCCTGAGCAACATTTTAGCACTTTTAGAACAGCAGATTAAATATACAGGCAGTCCCCGGGTTACGTACAAGATAGGGACTGTAGGTTTGTTCTTAAGTTGAATCTGTATGTAAGTCGGAACTGGCGTCAGCCGATGCTGAAACTGATCAGTTTCAACCGCGACTGAATCTAGACGCCAGTTCTGACTTACATACAGATTCAACTTATGAAACCCAGGTGTCCCCAAGTCAGATGCTGCTGAAACTGATCAGCAGCTGATTCCAGGAAGCCCGGGGCAGAGCAACTCTGCCTCGGGCTTCCTGTAGTCAG